CGGGTGCTTGCTGTCCGCTCCGGTGGCTTGGCATGGGATGGAGGTACGCCAGACCAGGTGCTTTCTGGACAGGGTCAATGTGCTAACAAATTGCTCACTTGTTCCCTGCTCTAGCTTGGTCTCATCTCTGTTAAACTCAAGGTCTCTTGTGCGTTTAGCTGAGCAGACTTACCTGGGCATAGGCTAACGTTTATCGGCAAGGCAGAGACTGAGTCGGAGGAGGAAGCAGGAGGGTGATCAGTAGGGAAAGGGACAAAAAGAATAAAGAGGAAAGAAAGGGTTGGGAAGGTAATTGAAGGATATGAGGCAAAGTGGAAAACAATGAAGGAAAGGCAAGGGGTGAACAGAAAAAATGGAAGTTAAGGAGGAAGATTAAAATGAGAGGTGGAAATGTTGCAGGCGGGCATGAGTCAGAGGGCTGTAAAGGGAGAGAAGGGGTAGGGAGGAGGTGGGATACCGTGAGAGCGGGGAGGGAGGCAGAGCTCGAGCGGAGAGGTGTGCCCTGCCAGGCACCCCCCTGCTTTTGCAGGATGGACCCCATGCATGCAGCCAGTGACCCTGTCGTGTTTCTCACCCTGTCAGCATTCCCACTATCAGTCAACCTTGGGCTGTATGGTGTGGGGATGGTGCATGCATCAATCCTCTCTCCTTCCAGAAGGGTTTCTTGTGGAAAGTTTTGAAGAAGAAAATTTCTAGCGAGGGAAGAAGAATTACTGTATAAATTCAATTATCTTGACAGCTCGGTACTCAAATTCCATCACAGATCAGGAGATTCTCTCTGATTTAGCAGGGTTCCAGCTTTCTAACCTGCCCCTGCACTTGCCCACCCACGCCAGAGGCTGCAAAATACTTTAGTGGTGCCAGAAATGAGCTGCCATTTCCCTCGGGAGAGATGCATCCCTCCCTGCCCTGTCACGATAAGGGGAAAGGACAGCTCACAACCAGCACAGGCTGCTTTTTTTTTTTTTTTCTTCCCATATCCTAGGCTTTGTTTGACTGCCCCTGGACCTTAAAGAAACTAAGGCTTTTACAAACAAGACATGCTTAAAGCAGCCAAGAAAAAGGGGAGAACTAGATAAAAAGCAGTCAGGTCGTGGGGTCTACCCTTGCTTGTAGCATCTAGCTGCCACAAAGCGAGGACAAGGTGCCTGGAAAGCTCCTGGAGTTTAATAAGGAGGCAACCATTTTGTACTAGCTTTAATGTTTCCCTGCTCTTGGTTTATGAATACGCAGCAAACGCACGGTTCCCCGGGTTGCTGGGTGCAATAAGGATCCAAGCACCCAAGGCTGGGTGTCAGCCTGAGAGTCCAAATACGCACTGTGCACCTCGTCCACCATCACAAGCTCTTGAGATACCGACACGGGAAAACGTGAACCTCCTGACATAAATCTGCTGCCAGTTTCTGGCTGATCACTTTTTGTGACAGGCCCTTTTGACTCTGTCAGCCTGTCACCACCTCCACATGTGGCAGCAGGTCAGGTAGAGCCCACAGCTAGAGAGGGTCAAGGGTACAGGGTTTCTACACAATGGGGAGCAGGGCTGGCTGGAGAAAGATAAAAGCAAAAAAAACCTGGGCTGGCAATCCCTGAAATGCTGTGTATGCCCAAAGACTCTAGCAGAGTTGCTTAGAGATCCCACTTCATTAGAGAAAGGAGGCAACATTTGGATTCATTGGTTTTACCTATACAGAAAATGTTTTGGTTTTTTTTTGTTAATCAATAGGGTTTCATTTCATCCTGCTCGCCTGCAGTCCATCATGGGCATGGTGCCCTTGCACAAAGAGAAGCGTGAATATAAGCTGATGCTAAAGGCATCACTAGGAACAAAAAGGTGAGAACGAGTGGCCCTAATGCAAAATTGCACTGGAATTGTGTTGGAGTTGTTTTGGATATGATTTACGTGACTACGATAGGCATAACTCATCCACAGGGATTTAAGCATCCTGGATGTGTCTCTTGTTACAGCCAAGACCAGGACACCTCAGGAAGAACTGTAGGCAGAAGAGGTCTGCTAAGCGAGCCGAAGCCCTGGGCTTGCTAGGGCTGAGTTCGTTTTTGTTAGAAGTTGCTCTCTGAAAAATTTAACAGTTGCCCTTCTTTGACCCATCCTTGGGAACAGCCTGCTGTTTTTATTGGCAGAGTGATTGACTGTTCAGTGCTTTTTTCCTAGCTAAACTGGAACATAATCGCAGCAAATCTGTGGCCACCGAGGGCTGCAGGAGGCTGGCTTGCTGGCTGTCTGAACTGCACAGTTGCAGCTAGGGTAGCTTTTGTCTTGCTCTGAAACTACTTGCGCTCGCTACTTTGATGATTATTAATTTTCTAGTGACACATGGACTGTGCCACGTAGGTGACAAGATCATTCCAGCTAGGAGAGGGCAGCAATGTGCACCTGGTTAAGGCTACTCCCATTGTAACGCTAGCATCGTGGCTGTAGCCACACGAGGACAACACTCGAACCGGTTGTAAACGGAAGTTCTATTTTTAAATGAATATTGCATGGCTAAGTCTAAGAAAAGATGTCACCTCTGCCTACTGATTTCATCTCAGCCTTAGCCCTGTGCTGTTCCCCTGTGCTGAGTTTCTGTGAGGGTCACGGTGTTCTTCAGGACTTCTCATTTGGTTGCTTGCAGTTCAGAAAAGACTGCTTTTTTTACTTAGATGTATTTTGGGGCTATTTGCTTACTTGGCATCTGACAGAGTGTGTTTCAGGTTGTTCTGCTACTGCTCAGAAATAATTTTTTTGCCTTCAGAGGTCTGACCTCAACCCAGTGCTCTAGTGATGTGTTTTTTTAAGAGAGGAAAGGAAGTTCTGTAGGACTTCACCAAGCTTGGAGACCTTTATGTTTCTGTGCATATACCTAACCCCTATAACAGACTGCAGCGTAGGGACTCCTTCAGTCATGAAGCTGCCTCTACGTGTCAAGTCTCTGTGCTGCGAAGAGATGTTGGCCCATATCCTGGGAGCAATACAGCTATGTCCATATGGTGTTTTGCCCGTAACCATAGTTCCAAAGTTTCAGCAGGTCTGTCTAATTCTGGAGCATCAACACGCTGATGAGGCAATCTTGAGCAAGGTTGATCAGTGCTTACTCCAGGCCCTTTGCACTGTGTTCATTTGCACCACGCAGGTGCGTCCTTCATGTGATGCCCTGTAGTCGTGTCTGTGCATTATGTGTTTGTCACGTGCGTGCGTTCTTCCCCCTTTCATGTCTGCTTCCTAATTTCATCTGACTGCATCCCAACCCTCTGTCTATCATTGATGTTTTCTGTAGGCTATCTAAGTATTGCTGCTTGGTTTGGGGTGGGGGGGGGTTGAGTTGCATTTTTTGGGGGGTGTGAATATTTCGATTATCTGTATGAAATCCCTCCTCTCTTCTTCCACACTCAGTGTATGTAGAACTGACAGCTCCAGGGAGGTAAATGAATGCCACTGCATTTCAGAGGAAGAATTATTTCATGCAATTACCCTAAAAGTGCATGAGAGAACAGAGTGAAAGGAATGAGGGAGAGAAAGAAAGAGAGCATGAGAGAGAATAATCACAACACTTCGACAGGTTTACCCCATTGTGTTTGAAAATCTATCACTCTGACAAGTCCCCTTTGTGAAAGGTGTAGACAGATAACTAGACATTTGCTCTTCAAGGTCCTTTTGAGTGAAGAGGGTGATCGATAGAAGAATCAGTCCATTTCATTCAAGTTTTACTTAAGTCCTTTCCCTGATATTTTTTACAGACTGGCTGTACCCTATTTCCCTCTCAACATCTCACTTAGGCTCTTTGATTCACTCCTCAGTGGTTCCTGGGCAGAAGGATTTGGGTGGACTTTAGGTTACTTGACTATTGACTTGTGGGTCTTTCTATAGAAATTATAATGTTTTTGGTTTGAGAAGAGGTGCAGTAACAAAAGGTTGTGTCCCCAGATCCCTACCCATCTCTTGAGCATGTTGAGAGGCTGAGCAAAATGGAGTTTTTTGTAGTTTCATTATTCATATCTGAGAAGAGATTCAGGAGAAGCAGTTCCTGTCCTGCCTCTGCTGCTGTTTCACCTGCCAACTCTGCCACCCTCTTGATCCCCTCTGCATGTCAGGGTCACCCTGGAGAAGCTGGTGACCACAGCCCATGTCTCCCTGGGGGCCTTATGCGCCTATGTTCACTAAAACATGCAAACCGCCATGAGATCCTTAAGCGGAAATTGCTGGCCAAGATAAATGGTTAGCATAATCCAGTTTCTCGCCATGCTTTCCAAGAGGCAGGCAAGTTACTGGACTTTTGCCATGCTGGGTGAGGAGGGGAGCACTGGGCTGAGGGATGCGGGGCCAGGTCACTTTTTTTCACCTGCACCTGCTGCTCTTGCGGCAAAGCCAATGTGTTAGTCATAGCTGTTAGCACTTTGAGGTTATTTAGGGAGCACGCTGTTGGGTTAGGAAAGTTAAGGTCTAGCATATGTCCTAAAATTAGGCTTTTCCCCTTTTGGTTGGTGTCAGAAAGGAGTGATTCACAGCTGTGGGAGAAGCCTTCCCACCTAGCCAAAGCAGTTACCACTTTAGAGTTTGCTTCTACATGAGGTAAAACAGTTTATCTGAAGCTGCTTCCAGGGACGTCATCCTGCACTGTGAGATGAGGGGAAAATGGGGAGCGCCCCACTGTGCTGCAGGTAATGCTCAGCAAAAGTGGCTACGCAGCCCCCCGCTCCTCCTGTCCTCGTGGGAGATGTCCATCCCACGTGTGTGCCCTTGCCAGGGGTGCGTGCTGCTTGTCGGGGCATCTTCACGCAGCTCCTTCCCCTCCTGACGGCCACAGCAGGTAAGTGTTATCGCAGCTCCTGCCGTGGGCTCCCGTCCTGCTCCTGGGGGCTTCAGCTTTGCTCCTGAAGACTCAGGCTTCATCCCTGTAACTTCCAGAGACCCTTCAATGAAGAAATGATGACCGTGTCTGAAACTGAAATTTTGGATTCTTTTAAACTTACTTTTCTTTTTATCTCTCTCTCCCCTCTTGCAGGATGGTGGAGTACTCCCTGGATCTCCAAAACATTAACTTGTCTGCAATCCGTACTGTCCGTGTCCTGAGACCCCTGAAAGCTATCAACCGTGTGCCCAGTAAGTCCTGCTTCCCTCTCACAGCTGCTCGGCTCAGGTTGTGGGGAGTACGCGATCAGTAAGGCTGCGTGTAGTAGTGTTCTCCTGGCAGGATTCAGGGGAAAACTGAGTGGAGGCTGCTGCACAGTGTGTGCAGGCTTTTCCCTGTCATGGGGCCAAGAGGTGGTGTTGGATGGGCAGGAAAGCTACAGTGTCCCAGCCTGCCTGCCCTGGTCATCCTTCGTGCAGGGCCATGCTGATGGCTCAGGAGCTGAAGCTGAACAATACGCAGTAAAGGAAAGGGTTTGTTCTTGCTCTTACTGAAGGATGTCGCAGGTTTGATAACGCCTGCAGCCTCAAAAAAGGGATGTGTGTGAGGTCTGGAGAGGGGTGAGCTGCGGGAAGCAGGGAGAATTGGCTTGCTCAGGCTTTCACACGCTCTTCTAGACCCTCTCATCTGAAAAATTTTCACGCTATTACAGCTTAGGGGCGTGTAGCACCGGCTATTTTTTCTCTCCTCCTCACCCTGTGCTTTGTACTCTCTCTTTTGTGCTGACCGTCCCCTCTGTGAGCTGGCGTGTGTGCATGAGCCAGGCTGAGCACCGCTGAGCACGGGGCCGCGTGTGAGCCTGGACGTGTCAGCAGCCGAACTGCTGCCGGCCGGCACCGTTCAGGTCTGGGACGCAGTCCCCCTGCTCTCTACATGCAAACCAGGGAGGTGCTGCAGCCCTGGGATGCGAGTCGCAGCCCTGGGACATCTGCCATGCACGCACGCTGCTTGCGTAGTGGAGGTGGCCCCTCCATAACCCTCGCTTCCTTCCTTTGCCTTGCTTCCCCCCTCCTTAAGTCAGTGTTCTCCCTGCAACCCCGGAGCGAGTAAGCAGGCACTGCCGTTGTTGTTTAGCTGCAGGAAACACTGATGGAGGTGGTTCAGGCTTCACAGTGGTTGTGTCCAGGTGGATGGAAGTGAACCGCTGGGCAGGTTACATGCTGTTGGGATCAGCAGGTTGCAAGAGCACTGAACTCGGTCTGCTGCGTCGCTCTGATTTTTTTCTGGCTATTCCCTGTGCAAAGGCAGCAGCTGCCACACGCAGCCCTGTGAGATTTCAGACGTTTCTTCCGCAAGTTTTTCTGTCTTGCAGAATGGCAGGAAGTCTCTTTGCTCTTCCCCGTAATCTCCCTAATCAGGCTGTCTGCAGTGGCTAAGACCTTGCCAGAGCTCTCCTAATCCTTCTCTCGAGTTTGGATGTTCTTTTTCCTTTCCGGATCTGAGGAAGTTTGCACAGTCAATGTCCCAGTCTGCATCACACGTTTTTCCTTGTGCCAAAGTCACTTTCACGATGCCGCCTATTTCTTGAACGTGCTGTGGAGGTGGATTTCAGGGTCTCTGGCTCCATGCAAAGCCCTTCTAGAAAGGGGTCTTGTCCCTCTTCCTGGGTTTATTTTTATTTCTGAGCAATAGTGAGGGACAGAGGATGCTGGAAGGTGTGATGGAGGAACTGAGGCACAGTCCTGTGTGCCCAACATGGCAGGAGGGTGCCAGGCAGAGCAGCAGCCGGTTTGGGCACTGAACGCACACGCAGGCATATAACAGATCCATCATGGGGGGATAAAGATGGGAGCCAAGAACAACCTTTTGGCTATTGACTGTCAGCAAAACAACTCCCCCAGCCTGTCTCCACCTCTCTGGACCTTCTCCAGAGAGGAGAGGGCTGGGACCCAGCCACGGTCCTGGCTGTGGGAATGCACCAGGGTGGGCATCTCTTCTGCGAGGGGGTGGCCTGGAGGTTGTGCACGGCAGGCTCGTCCCTTATAAGAAGCGTATGGCCAGCTGTGCGAGGACAGCACCATCCTCGTGTTACGCAGCCCCCTTTCCTCTCTGTGTCGTAAGGAGTCCCGTGAGTCTGTGCTCAAAGACCACTTTGAGGCTGATCCTGTTATCAGGGTAGGCTTAACCTTGGTGGCGAGTGGGAACATCTTGAACGATATCCCATTGACTCCTGCAGACGTCTGCTGCCTTAATTACTGGCACCAGTGGCCAGGAGCAAAGCTTGACCGATAAAAAGTCAAGGCCTTGTTTTATTCCTATTTATCTCCCGGAGCAGTCAGAGTCGCTGCCCTGGGAAGGAGCGGTGTGAGCGGCATCGGGACTGGCCCACCAGGGACCTGCTCCGTCCTTGTGGAGGCACCAGGGATGCTTTCGATCATCTCGCCTCACCTTTGCAGAGCACAGGCTGTTGAATTTCCCCTGACTGTCCCGGCTGTGATGCTGCCTGTCTGCTCCTTTTATCAGTACAAAACTTTATCTGTATGAAATTGATGCTGTTTTAATTTCCACTCTGTGGTTAAACCTTTATGTATCTTTCTCACTATGTAAATCTGTGGTTATATGCAGAGAACGTTTTGGAAGAAAGACATCCTGCTGTTAATTAAAAAAAAAAAAAAAAAAAAGAAGAAATTGGATTCCCTGGGAGACAAAGCACTGACTTGAGGGTTGAAAACTGGTGAAGAGACTGTAAACAAAGGCTTGTGATAAATGGGAATGAGCTGCACTGGAAGAAGGTGCCTAGTGGGATACAGCAAACATAATTAATGGGACCTTTGGCCACAAGTCTTTTTTAAATGTCTTTTTAAAGTTCTTCATTACTGATCTGAAGCAAGAGGAAAGTCTGTTAGTGAGATGTATTGATGATACCAAGCTGGAGGTGTTGCAGGTGCTAGCAAAGAAAGTGCGAAGTAAGACAGCGGGAGGTAGAAGGACACTGAGGTCTTGGTGGGAGTGTGAGATATTTGAGGAGGGGCAGGGAGTTAATCCCGAAGGCAGATATTTGGCCAAATTCAAAAGGCTGTGATGGGACAATGTGGCCCAGCCACATGTGGCCATTTCCAATGCTTCTACGCAGGCACCCAAGTGGGGACTGGTTTTCACAGAGGAGCCTGGCCATGTGGACTGAATAATGGCAGTTTATTATCAGGGGAACGGACAAAGTGATTAGGAACCTGGGTGATTACTGCATGAGTGGATGAGTGCTGAAGTGGTCTGTCTGGGTAGATTATTTAGCATCCAAACACCAGTAACACTCTAATAATTAATCAGCCAGCGTTTGAAATGTCCACATACTGAAGTAAGAAATTTCTGGAGAAATTTGAAAGAAATTTCACACTACATGAAGCAAAAAAAGAAGTGATGCCAGAAAATTAGGAGGGAGGCAATTCAGAAGGACTTTAAGGAAACAGTAACAACACGGTAGAGGAAAAAATATCACCTGTTAAATAAGTTAAAGTTACTTTATATTCTTGGCAGGTGGGCAAGGCTGAAGTTTAAATGCCCCAATTGGATATGTCTAAATTTTCCTTACCTGTGTTCAGTCTTAACATGTTATTGAAAGCCCTTCCTTACAGTGAGACTTGCGAGGCTTTGAAACAATATCCCACAAGGAGCTGACAAATGCTATTTGTGTGTGCTGTGCTTATTATGTGTACTGTAAAGGACGCATAGACTCTCCTGCCTTAATCAGACAGAAAAGAGAAGGACATCCAGTGTAACCAAAAGGTGGTGAACGTCCATTAAGGAAGAAGTTCGCCACCCAGTTCGTAATTAGGCTGTAAAACTCACTGCCATGGAATGTCCTTCCAGCCCCAAATCAAGACGCACTGTGTAAGTAAAGTAAATAAAATGAGATTGTCCAAGGGATGAGAGCTCACGTGGAGACATTTCTAGACTTCAAACCTCCTTGCTTCAGGGTTAGAGCTGATCTTTAGCTACTGGTTATCAGCAATCGACTGCATTTCTTGCAATACTCAGCAGGATCTGCTACTGACCATTTTGGATTTCACTTCTGGATGAAGAATTCTGTGGCTCTGCCCCGCCTGATCATTCCTCCATTCACATGTCATCTTTGAAATGTACTAGAGAAAACATGAGGCACCCTAGTTTTGTAAGACGTATCACAACTTCATTAGTATTCCTGCTTATCTCTTGCATTCCTGACTGCAGCATCAGGAACGCTGCCTTTTGGGGTTTTGCTTGAAAATGCATGAAGCAAAAAATCAGAGATTGTTCTGGTCCTATTACCATGTGATTCAATTCCATGGTGGTGAGCTGGTGTGGTAAGCCCTGAGAGTCACTGAATAAGTGTAAAGAGGAAAAAAAAATACTCTCCAGGTCTCTGTCAGAGGTAGCTGCTTTCTGCTCTGGGCACGTCTGTGTCCCGGGCTTGGGGTGAAATTCCACATCCATTTGTTGTTGTTATCCCTGATAACAACCCTGCGATTCTGTGGGTTGCTAGGTGAAACGTTGCGGTTTCTGCTAGCTCTTTCATCCCTTCTTTTCATGGCAAGGCACAAGGTGGGGGGGTGGGGGGCTGGTTTTGTTTTATTCTGCCTGCTTTTGAGCAGGGAGACTGTAGTCATTTCTGATCATCTGAATTTCCTTTGCTTCTGTTATTAGGTTTTTTGACATTGAGGCAGAAAATGTTTCTTCAGTTTCTTCAGTCTTGTCGCATTGGTCTTATGTAAAGAAGAGCCCTTGCATTGTGTTTGATGTCTTCCAGTTTCCACTTACAATTTAGTAACTGATTCATCATTTGGAAGCAGATTACTTCAGCTGAGCACCCTGTACGGAAGTGAAGGAGTCTGTTACAGAGTGTTGCATAGCAACTTTATTGAATAGAAAGTGTATACATGTGCTAATACTTGGTGTGTAAGTGCAGTAATACTTATGTGGAGGTTTAGGCATTAGAAATACAATGTTATATTCTTATTACTAGCTGTGCAGGAAATAGAATTTCAGATTTGTGGGAAGTTCTGCTCTTTCTCAATGTGTTTTTTCTCAGTCAGAACAAGAATAAGCATTTCCCATCCATTTTAATATGGCTTTATTTTGCCTAATTTTGGGTGGCTTGTTTGGCTTTTTGATTTTTTTCCTATACTTTGTAATGATAAGTTTAAAAATAAAAAACCCTCAACCGTGCCATTCTAGTATAAAAATGTTTTCTTCTCTTGTTGTTTTCTTTTTGCTA